ACGAGGTTCGGAAATGGAATTTATAATATATTATTTTTTATTTTTTTAAATATAAAATCCCGAATACTTAATAGATTATGATCAACAATCCAACTTAACTATGAGTCATAAAAGGCATATTCAGTTTGCAATGTGATATCAATAGAAACAATTAACCAAATAATAACTCAAATAACGCAAATTTGTAAATTATTGTTCTGCTTATTGTTTAATGTACTTTTAAATTTTTTTATTCGTTTGAAGTTAACGTGAAATCGAAAAAAAATTATCTAGTGTTCATTTCCTAAGCGCAAACCTACGAAAGTTTAAATTAATTATTGGGCGTTATTAATGAAAAATTGCGAGCTGATTTATTTGAAACGCTACTTATTAAAGAAATATATATTAATTATAATAGAAAAAATGAAAAATGGGGAGTCAGTGCTGAGAAAATGGATTGTTTATTCCGAGAAATTGAATTGTAACTTTTGCTTTTGTTAGAAATGTTTCGCATCTGATGAACTTTGAACGTTGAAGACATGCGTGGTTAGTGTTATGAAAAAATCCAAAAATGACTGAAACAAAAATTGTTGAGCTTTTTTCATACCTAGTGGTGCCCATACTCTAAATTTAATTATTAACTATGCAAAAATAATACAGATGCATTCAGGAAATGTTTGCAATTGCATTTTTTTTCAATATTCAGGAAATAAGTAATTTCTTTGCATCTTTTACTGATCTTTGGACAATACTTTTAAAATACGTTAAAAATTTGATACTCTGATACTCATAAAAACATTGTGATACTCTGAATCTAATGATGAATCAATTCGGCCTCTACGATATCAATAAGGAGAAGTTTACGATGCACTTTTTAATATTGTAAATACTGAAAAAATAAATCAACCCACGAATTGCCTCGATTTTCTAAATAAATTTAAAATTCATGTATTTTATATAAATTATAACTAATTGTTTCTTACGATTAAAAATTAATTGAAAAAATGTACGTAAATATTTAAATACTTTTATTGATAAACTGTTAAAACAGTTAAAATTATTGGGGGGGGGGCGCAAGAACAAATTTTGCATGCGGGCGCTGAGGACCCCAGGACCGGCCCTGTATATATATATATATATATATATATATATATATATATATTCTTATCAAAACATTTTAGTTAATTGGATAAAAAGTTTCAACAATTTCTAAAAGTTAGTTGCTTTAGATGTTTTTTCTTAGAAAATTTAATAGAGACTGATGTAACGTATAACGATGTTTATTGAAACTTAAACTTGAATTTTTTCACAGCAGTACTTTAAATTTATTTAATAGGCAACGTTATATTTATTTAAACAATGAATTTTTTAATGGGTAATAAAGTGATAATACTTATCATACATAATACATAATACAATGAATTAATTATTAATTATGTCAGAAAATTAAGAGTTAATTAGCATTGGTTATGATTATTACTAATAATAATTCAGTTCATTTAATTTTTTAGAATTTTTTTTATTTTCTAAATATACATGTATATAATAAGACTACAAATTCTCAATATTCTAAAAAATTACTAATATTTTCTAAACAAAAAATTCAATTATATAAAATATTTATATAATATATCAAATTTTAGCTATATAGAAGATAAAAAAACCTAGATAGAATAAAAATGGCTATTGGTTATTAATGAAGTTTTTCTCAGTGGAAACTTTATGGAAGCGATTAAAACTATAAACGTGTATCAAAATTTTGATGCAATCAATTCAATTAATATTTTATTACCATTCTCGAGCACAAGTATATTGATTTTCTCATAAAGATGAAGTAGGACATGATGGCTCTTTTAATGTTTCGAGACGTTCGGATAACTTTGAAACACCTCAGAAAAATAGTATGTAAGTGTCGACATGGTAAATTACGCATTTTGCCCACGTATTCGGAAAAAAGTCCCAAACCGATTTTAAACATTCATAAGTCGTCGACAGACTTGAATTGGGGTTCACGGTGGGTGATTTGCTTTGTTGGGAAATCTATCGATTTTGCGGAATATACGATTGTAATTATTAATTACTCAATTTATTATGTGATTATGATCGATTTGTTTTATCAGGAATACAAGCTATTATCACAGCGGTAACTGTTGATTTTAGTTTTTTCAGCTTTCATAAAAATGAATAATGAGTATAGATTTTAAACAACAAAATAATTACATACACTTTATTAGTAGCTAAAGTTACAATTTTAAATTTGGAAAATCGACTTATAAACTTTTATTTCATTTATTTAATTAAAGTTCACACATTTTTTGTTAAATATACAGTTTATACATTTTGATCAAATATTTTTTATAATATGCTGACTAACTAACTAACATGATGAAAGAACCGTAAAATAAAATTGGAACTTATAAGAAGCAAATTACTATCATTGTATCCTATTACTACTATTGTGCTAAATTTTAGTATGCCAATAGTTGTCGCACCAATGTGTGATTCATCAATTTAGCTCAGTTCTCCAAAGATATAGAAAAATTAAATATTTTCAATATTGTCTTTTGGGATCTTCATTCAGCCTTCTGGAAACTGATGTCTCAACAAATTGAGCCGCTATAGAACTAGTGTGATCTTGAAGTTTTACGGAATGTTAAACACTGCACTGCATAACTATCGATTTAAGTCAATGATTTGTTAAGTTTGATAAGTTGAGTATATTTGCAAATCTCGGTTTTTAAATCCCTTATATTATTTGTTGCTGGAATTTTTGATACTAGTATTTTAAATCAATATCCTCTAAAACAACCCATAACTTATTCATTTGACTCGGTCATACTGTGTGCTGCACATTCATGGACCTCAGGCACACAGTGTTAGCATGTATATTTAATATGTTAATTTGCATTCATCATATCTTCAAGAGCTTACAAGATTAAGTAATGTCAACTAACAAGGAACCATAACGGTTCATGCTACTCTGCATAATGCTATTTCACATGGCATGCATGTGTATAAATCTACACATTTTATTATTATTGTTGGTGCTGTTCCATTCTTTGAAATGGAATATACATAAGTACATATCGAACATCAACGTCCATGATTAGGAATTCAATTCCCTATAATTTCTATTTCTGAGCTAGTCTCCGATCATTTTGTTTTTTGTCTTACAATAGTCTTTGCTGGCGTCCTTGTTTACTTTCAACGATATTGTGCAGAAAACACTATGCTTTGATTTTAACTACAGTCAACCCCCGATAACGCAATACTCTGTGAAAGCGGTTTTCATACTTCCTGGAGCTGAAATTGCGACAGCCCTCTGATAACACGGACCTCCTAAAACACTTTGTTCATTTAATAGACTATAAGATCATTCGGCACGACCTGTTTTTAACCAGGAAAAATACAAATATATATATATATATATATTATATATATATACACAAAATTAAAGTATATTTTTTTGTTTTTCCTGGTTTGGTATGTATATAATTTTTTCTATTTTATATTTTTACATTTAATATCAACTATAGTTATTTATGTAATGTTTTTTAGATTACTGAATGATGACACACATAAAGTGTTGAAACGTCTAATAGAATAAAAAAAATCCATTGAATCATTTTTATAATTTGACGATTGCGCTGCAAAATACTTCAAATAGGTATCAACGTCGACAAAACTATCCCTATATATATATATATATATATATATATATATCAGGACACATGAATCAATATGTCGTTGGAAAGTATTCTGTCCCATCCGTGTATACATTAATTATGCTAACACAAATAATTAAATTTAGTCCAACAAACAATTTACATCAAATATTTGCTGGCGTTAATACCATAAAGCGTACTAATGTTTGCAGAATATATATATATATATATATATATATATATATATATATATTAAGCTCACAAATGCATGTATATTTCTATAAATTATATATACTTAAACTAATATAATATATTTATTTGTTTCATGTTTCATCCGGCTAATCTTCAATGGCAATTCACAAACAGGGCGCAATTGGAGTAAGTATTATTTATTCAATCTTCAAAAATATATGACAAACACATATTTGGAAATATATATATATATATATATATATATATATATATAATTATACCGCTGCTAGTATTTGTGTTTGTATTACCAGAGATTGAGAGAAAAGAGATGTATATTGAAATACTAGAATGAATGCAAAAATTATTATTTTGGCTGCGTTTTGTTTGGACTTCGCCAAAGAGAATCGTGACTGGAAATAAAAATTCCAAAGTATAATATATATATATGTATATATATATATATATATATATATATATATATATATAGTTGTCCTAGTCAAATTACACAAATACTAGTATTTCTAATAAAGCAATTATTTGCATGGTAGTTGTATACAATTTCAATATGAACTATGTGAAAAATAGTAAATTCTCATTTAGTCAATAGTTTCCTCCATTTCCATTTCCAAAAAACTAGTGCAAAATTTTCCACTTATAATGCAGGATTAAATTCAAACTGGAACATTTAAATTACGCGCTAAACAAAATAGCTTACTTCGCACTCATTCCACTAACGCTCCCGCCTGAGGCCCATCATTTTTGTGGCGGGCCTGTTTGCAAAGTGACGCCTATTAATTGTCTAGGGTGACGCCATAATTGTCAGTATTGTTTTGTATTTGTGCAATGATTATTCTAATATTTCTAAAGTTGATTAAACGATTAAGTTAGTGCATAGTGAAGTGTTATTGAATATGAGTGAATATGAGTGAGGATTATTTACAACTGCCTAACACAGATATTTTACTTGTATTTTTACTAAACCTACGTAGCCGCCATTAATTTTGTTCTTTAGCATTTGTGAAAATTGCACTAGTAAGAAAGAAAATCTTTAGAGATCAATTATAAATCTAGATTGCCTTCGTGGCACAACCAGTAATAATTATTACAAAATTATAGAATTCATTTATACAAATTTATATATTTAGCCTTCAATTAAGAATGTACTTTTGGCAGAGGAAAAATTTACAATTTTATAGACATGTGCTTCATGTGACATGAGTCATGTCTGTTGACAAATTGACGCAAGCCTTGATAATATTTAAAGGTAATTTATATTATAAATTGATGGATTCACATGTTGGATATTCACAATCAGCACACAATTATTGATACACATTTTCACGTCAAATTAAATTTTATGCAAATAATTTCATAGTGATAACATACTGTAATTCTACAATTTGTAGACAAATATATTATTTTAAATTCTTATTTCATTTAATCACTTACATATAAGAAAATCAATTAGAAACTAGTGGGGTGTATGGCATCGTGCCTTAAGGCAAATTGCTGGAACTTCCCGTACCGTAACAAAATGTTCGAAAAATATTGAATGTTTTCAAATAGATTATTTTAAATATTGTAACATTGTCGAATATTTATAAGAATTTTATAAACTGAATTGCAAAGTTAAACATATTTGTTTAAATTACATTAGAACTTTAGTCAGAATTACGATTAAAATCTGAATTATTTTCGATATGAAACAAATTTTTTTTTCCAAAATCAATTATTTTGTTAAAACAAGCAGAAAGTTTTTTGAATCATTCAAATCGGCCGCTTAGTTCTCTCAAAAACTGCCATTTTTTGCACAGCTTTGTGTTTCAGAAATGGCTAGGCCTGCGTTTGCCAAAAACTTATAACCACTTCTCCCAATCATTACTAATTGAATGTTTTTTTGATCATTCAAATCGGATGCTCCGTTCTTTCAAAAACTCGATTTTTATTTTCTGCACTCTTTGCTCTTTATCTCCGTAACTGCTGGACCTGCCTTTGGCAAAAACTAATCAGCACAACTCCTTATAAATATGAATTGAATGTTTTTTGAATCATTCAAATCGGTCGATTCGTGCGCCCGAAAATGTGGACGAAAAATTGTATCCATACATACATACACACACACATCCATTTTTTCTGAGGTATGCCAAAATGATCAGAAACTTTCAAAACGTCGAAAAATATTGAAATTTTCAATTTCGATTTTCGGCCTATTACAATAACTTACCCTACGGACAGTTAATAATATTTTATTTAAATAATAACTTTTTTTATAATAATTTTATTTACTCAGTAATTTTTTTAACCCATTTAATTTTGGATGCAGTATGAAATAGTTGTCGCACATCAATATTTAAATATACATATTATTTTTCGTAAACGAAGTTGCTAATTTTATATTTTTCTAATGTTTCTAGTCACTCCGAAACATTTGATAATTCATTGTTTCTAATATTCTCAAACTGTTATAATCATCTATTCAGTTTTTTTCTAATTGTGTTTAAAATATGTAACTTGAGAATGGTTTTGACTAATATTTTGTAAACTTCAGTGAAAAATGAATAATAGTTTTAAGTATTTGCTTCATATGGATCCTTAAAATACCTAATATTAATATTTTATCATCTTTTCACCTTACATACATATTGATATACGTATGTAATACATACGTATATATATTTGGGGGCTTAATAATATTGTTACAATAATTTTGGCAGATGGCTCCAGGTTAAAATGATTTTTTCTATTTGAATAATGCCTTTTCAAATCATGTTCAAGGATTTAATTTACTTCCCGCAGGATTTAATATTGTAACTGAAGAATATTTACTGTATTTTTGTATTCTAACTTTGAAAGATCATTTTGTTTGTATAATGGATAGAAAAAAATCCGGGATCTATTAGTGTAAATGCTTGTATCTTTTGACACAATTGTCCTGTCACATTTACAGAAGAAAGCCTAAGTTATTCGATTTATCTTAATGTTGTCAAGAGAACAAAAATAGGTATATTTGCTCTGCAATACAAGTCTTGTCTTTCTACTTTTTGTTATACAGATTGGATTTTGACAAATCTGGTCATTTGTTTGCCCTAAAATGGGCATATATATAAACATTCTTTATCAAAAATTGTTTAGTCATTGAAAATGTTTAAGTTTAATATTCTGCAATTTTAAGGATCCAAACCAATACAAAAATAACATAATTTACATGCAGAATTGAAAGTTTTCCCTTTTATAATTATTATTTAAAACTATAAAAAAATCATTATTGCAAAAACTACTTTATTATTTGTGTAATATTGAAGATTACAAAACTATAAGTGATACATTTTTAAAATGTTTACATCTTATTCGTTTACATCTTATTTAATTCTTTTAATATTTTTACACGACATAGATGATACTGAAAAAGGAATTAGATGTTATATTAGAACATATTTTTTTTTAAATTTACAAATCCCCAAATATTGCGACTCAAAACTTACAATTATTTTGTTAGCTTGATTTTTCTTTTAAATAATTAATATATATTTCGGGATTTTTTAATAAGTAATATATCATTTTTTAACTAATAGTAAGTTTTTCTTGGAATCACATTTTGTTAGATTCATTTTTCATAAATATTTTATAAATTTAGTATATATATATAATATATTTGTATATTTCAAAAATTTTGTAGTCAAATATGATAAAAACTTTTCTTCGCTATGCTTGAAACACTAAGTGTAGAAAAAGCTCCTGTTGTAAATTATATATGTGTAGGATTTTTAAAAAATCCATTTTGTAGATTTTCGAGAAACAATTCTGTTGACAACTCTTTCAAATTCATACACAAACGCTTGTGATTGACGCAAATATTTTGATACCAAATTGTGGTTAGAATAATTTTTACGATATTTATTTTTCATTTCGTACTAGTAATAGAATTTGCCCATAGAGTAATAGAATGTCAAATGTCAAATGCTACTATTAGAATTTTCCACCCACATTGAAAATATTATTTCACATTTTTTAACCTTGGGCCATGCTGTGGCGTAATCAGTTTCAACGTTGGCTAGCCCAAACTATTTGTGGGTTTGCTGGTTCCATCTCAGCAGGACGACGACATCGGGCAGCTTTGATGTCAAATTTCCACTCAAGGTCATATTCATCATATTTATTTTAAATATGATCTCAAGTGAAAATTGCCTGTCGTATGTATAGCTGCATGTAAATATGAATATAAAAATATGAATATGAAAACAAATACAGTCAACCCTCCTTTAACACGGCACTCTGCGTAGATGATTCCCATACTACGCGGAGATAAAATCTGATATCCCTCCGACTACACGGACTTATTATACGGTTTTTATTCAACGGCCCGTAAGTTCCTTGCGCAACCTATGAATGATTTTAGGAACTTCAAAATGCTATTAGTTTTGTTAGCGACATTTATCTTTAAGACATATCTGGCTGTACAATAGCTGTCTAAGAACACGTTTAAACTGACTACATACTGCGTCGCGCCAATTTTTGAATAAGGCGCCTTTATCATACATGTTATTTCGTCCGTATTATTCAAGTTGTATTTCTTGATCTCCATACAGCACGATAAAAATGGTGCGATTTGAACTAACTCTGAGTCTATCATAGCACGGTTTCCATAATGCACTATATAAGTTTCCATAGAACGCACTACGAATTAGCCTGAATTGTATGTTAAATAAGGGTTTTTTATAGCACAATGCCCATACTGCACGGTACGCACTTGCCGCGTTAACAGAGGGTTGACTGTATAATGAAAAAATCATTTCATTTTTGAAGCTTTGTTTTCGTTTCGTGATAAGCGTAGGTACATCGAAAGTATTAGATACTAGCTGACCCGGCAAACGTTGTTTTGCTAAGTAAGGTATATTCTAAACAATTTCTAGAGAATCAAAAATATTAATACTTTAAGTGTATATGGATGTGTTGTTTCAAGGCTATATGCAATGAGGTATTATAAAAACAACAAATTCCATTAGTTTGGATATATTTTGTCAACACAATAAAACTGGAAGTTTTATACACTTTCTATAGAAAACATGGTATAATCCAATCCAAGTCATTTTTGGTCTTTCGACTTATTGATTACGTTTCAAGTTTTTCAAATATCTTTTGGATTCTGAATTTTGTGTATAATTGTAAATAATGCCACTGAACTTATACAAAATTTTCAAATTTCTGCGAGGAGAGATAAGAAAAGAATTAAGTATTTCTTCTTTGACCTGCTTTTTGAAAAATTTCCAGTAACACTCGATGAATTAAAGTAAATTTAATAAAAATTATATATGTAGTGCAGGGCGAGGCACAAAGGTCCAATTTGACTTTGAGCAAATATGAACTATATTGTGAAAACCATAACAATTATATCACAACAAATAACAAATTTCAAAGAATTAATTATCTGACTACGTTCAGTAAAACTGCCTTCTACTTTATCACTGAAGAAATGTGCTTTTTCATGTCTTTCAAAAATTTGTTATCTAGACCTTTTTACCCTATAGGCGGGGTAACTTGAAACGGCCAGGTGGCAAACGGGTTTGAAGTCTTATATTAATTTTAAAGGATTTTACAAAATAATTACATTTTTAACTAATGCTAAAAATCTACCAATGGGAAAAAATACTTTTATTATGGATTTTCAAAGATTACCGTTAATCTCCCGATAGCAAAGTCTTCAAATCAAGGTTATAGTTAGTTATACATCTTTTTCCCTCTACTTTCAAATATTGTTGTTAAACAATGTTTAACTTTACTGGTTTTTGACACATCGGTGGTGGACTTTTTTAACCCCGGACCTTTATATATTACTATCTATTCTTCGATAAATTTTGGGAAATTATAACTGGGAAAATGTTATTTGACAAAATGTCCATTTGATCGATACCAAATTTAGGTTCTGAATTTAAATAACATAAATAAAAAATAATTTAACATAGAAAATGTTTCATAAATACCAATGAGTATATAATTATACAAATTAGATCTTTTCGAGCACCGTGTTTGAGAAAAATATGCCTAAAAGTACATTTTCATATTAACATTTCAAAAAAGTTGATATTGAGTTTCTAGTAACACTTACGGCCTGTTTAAAAACGTTTTAGTGTATAAATAAAACTACAAACCAAACTACTTACCACAATTTATTCATAATTAAATAATATTCACGTAAAACATCCTATTAAAAGTAATTGAACATCATCTGTCAAAAACGTTTGACATTTCACGTATTAGCCACCGTCCATTGTTTTATTTAAATTACGCTTCTACAAAAAATTTCAAATTAAAGATGTAAAGTATCTACGCGATTTTGAAATAATATCTCACCTTTTCGACAATCTACTAATTAGCACGAATTTTTCAAGACTAAGACTGGCCTAATCGGTTAAGCCGTTTTCGAGTTTTACCGGATCATTTGATCGAGAGCTCCATTTTTCTATATAAGATTTCACCAACGTATAAGAATACTCACATGGAGCAAAGTTTTAAACTTTAGAAGCTGAGCATTATTTTATAAAAACCTATAAATGAGTTAAACAAAATCAATTTGTTTCCCATGACGCATACGGCACATGAAAAGATTTCTTTCCATGAATTATGATATTATTATAGTAACATATGATTAGAGAGTTACCTTGTTACTTGCACCTATTTTATTTAATCATTCTTCTATTCCAGAACGACAGGATCGAGTACGCCCGCCAAGTCACCTCTCGGAGGCGACTCAAAAGGTGTCAATTCAAATTCATCAGTGCAAGGTGCCTGCGCGAGTGCCAGCGGAGGCAGCGCCAACAATGGCGGCGCAATGGGGCCAAATTCAGGAGGTCATCAGGTAAAAGTTTTGTCACAACTTATCTTCAAGTAATTATTATCGTAAGTTATTATTGTGTAGTTCTGAAACAACAAAGTTAAGCATCTTTACAAAATACGTTATTAATTATTAAAGTTTAGCTTAAGCTTTATTAATTCGATTTATGCAGTACTTCGTACTACGTGATTATTATTAAGATATTATTTTGGGCGTGAAACTTTTGTTATTATGCGTAATACTTTGATCAAATAAATAAAAAACAAAAATTTACAAATTGATTTTTTTTTTCAAATGTTTAGACATAAAATTTTGTCATCATCGGTGGAGATTAGATGTGGTTTATCTTAATAATATATATGCAAAAACCTTCCAAAAACCAAAATCATTTTTTAACACTACCATTTTACACTAACTAGTCTTTAATAAAGAAAAATTTTGTTGGTTTTAGAGTAATTACAAAATACTTGTTCAAGAGCAATTTCTAATTATAATAGGTTCAAAATAAACTTCTACTGAACTTCGATTTTTATTTATATAAAATTTTAATAATTTTTTAACCACCATATATATATATATATATATATATATATATATATATATATGTATCTATATATATATATTAATTGTTTAATATGAACAAAACAGCACTCAGATTGTTTAACACAACTTTATTTTATGATTACAGACGTTTCGAGACCATGGTGTGTCTCATCTTCAGTGTAATTTCAAAAACAGTTACTTATATACTACACATTCTTTAATAATTTATTTAAATTTCATTTAATTTTTGATATACAAAAAACACCAACTATTCCTTGCAATGCTTGACACAGTACTAAAGAAACATATAACACTTACAGAAATATTCTAAACAAATTTGAAGTACTTATCTAGATGGAGACAGAATGGGTATCATTATAATGTAAACAAAAGGAGTGGTATCGCATACAAAAATCGATAAAAATGAAAAAACAAATTAATTTATTGAAAAGAATAAGATAAATGAAAAAATTTATAAATTATTAATGATGTTTATATAAGTGTCATGTAAAATATTTGTGTCGGTTCTTAGATTTATGCTATTGTTAGTCCGAACTATTAACATTGATTCTGCCATGCTCCGTTTAAATAAGTCTTTCTCATGGAATAAAATTTGGGGATTGTCAAAATCAAACTTATGGTTGTTGATATTAGCATGATTCACAAGTGTACTTTAATTTTTTTGCCAGAACTTAGAAAAGAGACTCAGGCAACATGAATTACAATGTGAAAAAATAGATAACAAAAAATTTAAAAAGTACACTTGTGGATCATGCTAATATCAACAACAACCTAAGTTTGATTTTGACAATCCCCAAATTTTATTCCATGAGAAAGACTTATTTAAACGGAGCATGGCAGAATCAATGTTATAGTTCGGGACTAACAAAGCATAAATCTAAGAACCGACACAAATATTTTACATGACACTTATATAAACATCATTAATAATTTATAAATTTTTTCATTTATCTTATTCTTTTCAATAAATTAATTTGGTTTTTTCATTTTTATCGATTTTTGTATGCGATAGCACTCCTTTGTTTACATTATAATGATACCCTTCTGTCTCCATCTAGATAAGTACTTTCAAATTTTTTCTAGAATATTTCTGTAAGTGTTATATGTTTCTTTAGTACTGTGTCAAAGCATTGCAAGGAATAGTTGGTGTTTTTTGTATATCAAAATTAAATGAAATTTAAATAAATTATTAAAGAATGTGTAGTATATAAGTAACTGTTTTTGAAATTACACTGAAGATGAGACACACCATGGTCTCGAACGTCTGTAATCATAAAATAAAGTTGTGTTAAACAAATCTGAGTGCTGTTTTGTTCATATTAAACAATTAATATTCGTTCCACTCATATCATAAAATTCTATATATATATATTATATATATATATATATATATATATATATATGTATATGTATATGTATATATTAGGGTGGTTCTTAATATGGACATTTAAGAATTTCCTTGCTCCCAAGAGCTTGAATGGTTCCAAATTGATAACAAACAATTCTCTGAAAGTTTTAGCTCTTAATATTGTCTTTTGAGTGAAACAATAAAAATAATTTTATTTACTTTAAATTTAAATCATTATATCGATTATAAAATTCGAATAGTGTTTGAGGATCGCTTTCATCATGAACGATTCTGCTCCATTAAAATTACCATATCGTAGTGTTTAAAGAATCTGAAAGCTACTTTAAAAAGATACTTGAATTTTTAAACAAAGAGGTATAGTTCAGAGACGAATTTCAATGATTCAGCAAATATTTATTATATATTGACCCGTTATCGATAATAAAATGTATAATGATTGCATGAAAAGTATCACCGTGATAAGATCATAATCAGCCGCACTTTTTGAGTTTGTTAGGAACTAAGGTACAAGTTATTAATTCATTTTATAATGAGCTACTATGCTGAAAATAATTAATTTTGCATTGAAAACATTTTTAATAAACAATATATTAATACAACACATAACAAGTTTCAAACTTTTACAACTATTTTCTATTTACTTGCTATTTCAAATTTTAATTTTATGAAAATATACTTGCCTATTTGTGAAAACAATTTTAAAATCTGCCAACATGTATATCAAATAGTAATGTAATATATGACAAATGAACTCTAAACACTTGTAGATATGTTTGGATAGCCAAAATAATAGTAAAAAGAAAAATTACTAAATATATACCAAAGATTTTTTATGTTTACTTTTTCAAATGATATTTGTTCAAGAATTCACTTTGAATTTCATAATCTTCTGTAATTTAAAATTTACAACAACTTTCTTAATCTACATCCATTACTCATTATAATTATCGTAAACTTTCTGATTAATTAAAGATAGCTCATTATGAAACTATTAAATAACTTTTACATAACATATTTCAGACGATAATTAAAATACCGTGATCCACTCTTTGATGATACTTTTCAAACAATCATATTCTATTTAATGATCGATAACTTATTTGTGGGAACTTTTCTTCAAAGTGGTAAAGTATTTGTTGAATCTATACCATTAAAACTTTACATAGAACTTCACCTTTTCATTCAACAATTGAAATACCTTTTAAAGCAGCTATTAGATTCTTTAAACACTGCGATATGATAATTTGAACCGATCTGAAACGTTGGTAATAGATTTTGTAATTGACTCAGTATTTAACTTCATGATAATTATATTTATTAGTGTTGTAAACAGAAATAATCTAGTGGTGATTTTGGGATATCACAATTTTTGTCTATTTTTTGTTATTCGAAGAGTATTGCTATCATTTCCATCTGTACCG